CCAATTAGGTTTCTTTTTCTCTCAAATCTCTGTGCTCAACCTTGGCCTGTTTTCCTAGTAAGAAATGTCTCTGCTTGGACTCCTAAACAAATATATTCCAGAGAAGTGTCATTAACTAAGCTGAAACAGGAACTAAACAGGATGAATTAGCTTGAATTCACGTGGGTTGGCAACCAGTCAGTTTCTTTCTCTACTTCTCAATTTGTTTTTTCAGTGAACCTGATTACTACATACTTACAGGTATGTCCTGATAGCAGAAAACAGTAAGCATTACCAAAGCAGGAAGTTGTTTGTCTACTGACCTCCTCCTGTACAAGAAGCAATTTTTATTGATTTGGATGTGCATGCTTTAAGGCAGCAATTGTAGGTGTTGGCAATAGTTGTTTTTTTTTTTTTTTAATCATTGCAGGAGAGGGTCACAGGGGCATTTGAAAGGGTCTAAAACAAAACATTTTTTTCTGCTGAATTCCACAAATTTGAAAGTAATGTTTATTTTATTACCTAGAAAAAGAATTTAACTGAGAAGTGGATATTTTATTTGTCCAATTATATGTATTAATTTGAAATTATACACACAGGACAATTTCTTCATGGTGTATTTTTTCCTTAAATATGTTGGATCTTATACTTACCATTCTTAGACTTTGCATATCTGATAAATACTCTCTAGTAAGTAGGACCGTACTCTGATGAGCATAAACATGGGATATTTACTTGTGATTATATGAAATTTGTGGAATATAAAAAATAAAGTTTAATCTCAGTCTTTAAGTTCAGAGCCAGGCAGGGTGGTGCACATCTGTAATCAATTCTGCACTTTGAGAGGCCAACACAGGTGGATTGCTTGAGCCCAGGAGTTTGACGTCAGCCTGGGCAACATGGTGAAATGCCGTCTCTACTAAAAATACAAAAAATTAGCTGGGCATAGTGGTACCTCAGCCACTCGGGAGGCTGAGGTGGGAGTATTGCTTGAGCCTGGGAGGTGGAGGTTGCAGTGAGCAGAGATTGTGTCACTGCACTCCAGCCTGGGTGACAGAGTGAGACCCTGTCTACAAAAAAAAAAAAAAATTCAGACATAGTAGGAACTGTTTTTTTTTCATGAGTGGGATTAAAGAGAAAAAGCAGAAAACAGAATCTTTTTAACTATTAATAAAAATATTGGAAACTTTTAATGTAGATTGATAGGGATTACCAAAGATAATACAGATTTAAAGAGGTAGAAGAATTTTCCGAACAGTGAAAAGACAACCAAGACATTAAACAGAAAAACACATTTAAAAGGCACTTTTTTTTTTTTCTTTTGAGACAGGGTGTTGCCTAAATTGTCACCCAACTTGGAGTGCACTGGTGCAATCTCAGCTCACTGCAGCTTCGACCTCCCAGGCTTAAGTCATCTTCCTGCCTCAGCATCCCTAAGTGGCCAAGACTACAGGCTTAGACCACCACACCTGCCTAATTTTTGCATCTTTTGTAGAGCTGGGGTTTCACTTTGTTGCCCAGGCTGGTCTGGAACTCCTGAGCTCAAGCAATTCGCCCACCTTGGCCTCCCAAAGTGTTAGGATTACAGGTGTGAGCCTCTGTGCCAGGCCTAGAAAAAACACCTTTTAAAATATTCCCCATTGAAAAAACTTTAGTGTCCAAAGGAAACAGCTATTTCTAAAATAATTGCTGCTATCTCTAGAAATAAAACTAGAACGTCCCCTTTTTCTTGCCTCTTGATTTGTGTCCCTTTTGATGTATACTCCAGTACTACATTGGTAGAGGGACGCTTTTCAGGACTCTCAGCTAATGGTACAGAAATAATTGATTTTTGTCATCTGAATGCCTTTCCCTTTCGAAAGCTTATAGGAAGTATTCAGATACCTGTTGAAAAAATGAATATAGGAACGAATAAGTGAGAGACCTGGTCCATTTTACTTATGCTAAGTTTTATGACTTTTAGCAAGTTACTTTATATACTCATGGCTCTGTTTCCATGTCTGTAAAATTGAGTTTAATAATACGTACTGCATAAAATAATTTAGTAAATGTTTGTTGAATATCTCACATAAGCACTAGATCAAACTCAGATAATATACTGAGTCAAGTATTTGGGGTTTGGGTTATAGAAATTTGCCCTCTTAGCAGGATCGACTCATGGTTCTTATGCACCCAAAGTTTGAAAATAAGTCAATCTAGCATTTGTAAGGATTAAGTAAAATATTAGATTAAAAAATGCATAGTCCATTGTAAATCACATGGTAAATACAGAACTATTGCTATTATTTTCACATATGCTTTGATCACTTACTCCATATGTTACTTCTTAATTTGTAAGGACTATGTGTATATTTTCAATAGATCTTCTCCAGCCAGTCAATTTATGAATTTCTTTGGGTGACTAGACTGCCTTTTCTGAAAGACTTTTGTGATTTTTTTTTGTTTTTTGTTGTTTTGTTGTGGTGATGGAGTTCCCACAGGGGTGTTTTTTCTTTCACTTTTTGTAAATCAAATTATGCATTTCCTCATTTTTGTTTTGTGATTCTGGCTATACAAAAAATTTCATGAAAATAAAATTTAATCATAAACTCACATTGTATCTTGCTGTTATATCGTGAGACTCATTAGGTGATTAAAGAAAATTCACTTTCTAAACTGTAGACAGGAAATCCAACCAGGCACAGTGGCTTATGACTATAATCTCAGCACTTTGGAGGGTCGAGGCAGGAGGGTCACTTGAGTCCAGGGGTTTGAGACCAGCCTTAGCAAAATAGCAAGAACTGTCTCTACAAAACAAAACATCAGAGTGGTGTGATGATGCATGCTTGTAGTCCCAGCTACTCAAGAGGCTGAGGTGGGAGGATGGCTTGAGCCCAGGAGGCTGAGGCTGCAATGATCTGTGATTGTGTACCTGCCCACAGCTTGGGCAACAGAGTGAGACCCTGTTTCAAAAAAAAAACAAAAACAAATCCACACAAAAAAATCCATTTAGTTAACCCTTATTTAAATGTCGGGTTGTCTGGCTTGTGTATTATCCAGATGCTGTGCTCTGCTTTTTACAGCTTTTCTTTTTTATTTCTTTACTTATTGGGCATGAATAGAGAATGAGAAAGAAGGAGATTTGATAAAATTCAGCATGGGAACTGAAGGAAACTGATAGCCAAAATAAGGTTCAGCTTAGAGAATTCTGGTGATGTTAGAGAGACTGTCACAGTTTTGTCTTGTTAGCAGTGGTGTGACCTGAAGATCCTGGCAGGTTAGGATATCGATGAGACATTTTGACCTTTGATTCTGCTGCTAACTTACTGTGTAATCTGTGCAAACCAGTCTATTTATATAATAGGGAAAACAGCTACATAATTTTGGATTCAGGGTCCAAAGGGATATCAGTAAAAAGAATTTCAGGAATTTAATGAATGTGTACACAATATTCTAGATACTAAACAAGCGGGGGGCGGGAAGTGCCATGTAAACTATTGCGTGAGATGAAACTGAAAGTGAGATTTTTCTTCTCTTTTTTTCAGAATTCTTATACCAGTAGTACTAGGAAATATATAACAATTTTAGATATAATGATTTTGTAGTGGTTATAAAATTTGAAGGATAATTTTTTTTGTCGGGGGAAATGAAGTCTTGCTCTGTTGCCTAGGCTGGAATGCAGTGGAGTGATCTCGGCTCACTGCAACCTCTGCCTTCCAGGTTCAAGTTATTTTCCTGCCTCAGCCTCCCTAATAGCTGGAATTACAGGCACCTGCCACCGTGCCAGCTAATTTTTGTATTTTTAGTAGAGACGGGGTTTCACCATCTTCGCCAAGCTGGTCTTGAACTCCTGATCTCATGATCCACCTGCCGCGGCCTCCCAAAGTGCTAGGGGTACAGGCATGAGCTGCCGTACCTGGCCCTGAAGGACAATTTTTTATACCCATTTGATAGTGTATACAAACAGAGGCACAGAACTTGAGGGATTTACCCAAGGTTGTCTAGTTAAATAATGCTGAAATGGGGAATAAAATCATTTCTCTAATTTTCTGTTCATCAAATGACATGCTGTAACTAAACTGAACATTTTTGTTCGATTTATTGGAGGTCTAATGCATTTGTAGTCTCATGTTCGTATTCTGTCTTTAATTTTTGTTTTTAAGCTTAATGGGGTAGATGATCTGTTCTTAAAGCAAAACCAAAGATTGAGGACTATATAGGAATCTTTTGAATCATAAGGAGGAATTTTTGTTTTTTTGAAACAGTGTCTGGCTCTGCTGCCCAGTCTGGAGTACAGTGGTGCGATCTTGGCTCACTGCAACCTCAACCTCTGGGGCCCAAGCTATCCTCCCACCTCAGAGAGTGATGGGGACTACAGACCCACACCACCATGCCCAGCTAATTTTTGTGTTATTTTGTTGAGATAGGGTTTTGCCATGTTGCCTAGGCCAAGGAGGAATTTTAGATATGTGTATAGCTTTATAGTCCCAACCCCTAGAACAAAATACACAAAAGCTTAAATTTTAAACTAAATATTACTTGAAGGAAAAGTAGAAGAGAACAGTGATCCGATAGTCTTAAGATTTGAGGATCAGGCGTGGTGACTCACGCCTGTAATCCCAGCACTTTGGGAGGCCGAGGCAGATGGATCACCTGAGGTAAGGAGTTCAAGACCAGCCTGGTCAACATGGTGAAACACTGTCTACTAAATATACAAAAAGTAGCCAGGTATGGTGGCGGGCGCCTGTAATCTCAGGTATTCGGGAGGCTGAGGCAGGAGAATTGCTTGAACCCAGTAAGGGAAGGTTGCAGTGAGCTGAGATTGTGCCACTGCCCTCCAGCCTGGGAGACAGAGTGAAACTCCATCTCAAAAAAAAAAAAAAAATTTGAATTCACCACTTAGAAAAAGTGACCTTGGACATAACATTTCCCTTTCCTGAGCCTCCTCTTCCTAATCTTCAAAGTGGTCATAATTTCTCTCTTATTTCATGAGGGTGTTTTTTTTTTGTTTGTTTTTGTTTTTGGTGTGTGTGTGTGTAAATGTGTTTTTATTGGGGAACAGGACACAGTGGGAAATGTCACCATGGGCTATGGTATGCCCTGTGTCCCAGAGAATGTCCATTTGCATTCTAATCTTCCTGGGCTGCTTTGTGGAACTTTTTCTTCTTCTTGGAGCTGCTCTTGCTGCCAGCAGCCTCTTAGGGTCCACTGCTGACGGGCTCCTCTTTGGACGGTTTCCTCTTTTTCTTGGAGACACTTCTGTTGCCTGCCTCTTCAGGGTCATTAACTGTATCCTCCTTGGGTGAAGACTTCTTCCTCTTGGGAAGACTGGTGCTGCCAGCCATCTCTTCAAGGTCGCTGCTCAACAACTCCTTGAAAAGATTTATTTTTCTTGGGTTTGGAGAAAGAGATATATCTTCCTTTCCATTCTCCTGAGGAACCTCCTGGGGCTTTTGCTTTTTCTTCTTTTTGGGTTTTTCATTCATCTCCTCACACTCGTCTGGAGTACTACTGCTGTCATGAGGGTGATTTTGAGGATCAAAAATATTGTGAACGTTTATAACAAGCAATAATAATATTAATGACTTATCACTGGTATAAGACCATATATAGCTATTAAATTAGCTCTTACTTTCACATTGTTAGCAAACAAAATTTACCTTATTCTTTAGAAGTAAACCTTGACTTCAGAAGGTCTAAAAATCCCTTGGATTAAAAGAATCTAAAAGCTACTGGTTGCCAAAATTAAAGAGGGTGTTTTTAATTCAGCTTCCAAATTACCAAAAAATAAAAGCAGATAAAAAGTAAAATTTATGTTCACATATTTTACAACATACAAAGTGCTGGGCTTACAGGCATGAGTCACCGCACCCGGCCGGTTTCTACTGTTGTTAAAATTCATGAATGTAAGAGGTCTATGTATAATTGTTGAATGAATGAATGAGTGAATGTGAATGCATCTGTTTCTCTGTTGGCTGCTTTTTCTGTTAGGAGCCTTGACCTTTTAGCATTCAAATTCCACAAGAAACATCTTAACCAAGTTATGGTTTTGGGTGAATTTGTTTCCAGGCTTGCTTTTGTTTTTCACATTCTTTTTTTGGCCTGCAGTCTTACTCTGTGACCCCTTTCATGGCTTCCAGTAGGTTATTCAGTTGGGACCTAGGGAAGTCAGTAAATTAAACTTGATTTGTAATGGAATACATAGGGTGTGTGGCTTGGATTAGAATCAAATTAGGTCTGGCTAATCTTATTTTGGTTTAATCTATGTGGGAAAGAATAGAACTAGAGGAAAAACAAATAAACAAAAAAATAGGAGAAACTATTCTTGTATAATGATAAGCAATTTTTTGTAAGGAATAGTTCTGAGGGCCAAAGCCTAAATTATTTTTATTGGAAGTTTGGGGACAAGATTCAGCAAAGGAATTTAGATTAGCTTCTCCAGTCATCATAGTTGGTATTTACTTTTCTAGCTTTCCCAAGCCAGGATCTCTAGGCTTTTAAAATGTGTATGCTCTCTAGACAAGGCACATTATTTTTATTTTATTTTGTTTTATTTTATTTTATTTTATTTTATTTTTGAGACAGAGTTTTGCTCTTGTTACCCAGGCTGGAGTGCAATGGCGCGATCTTGGCTCACCGCAACCTCCACCTACTGGGTTCAAGCAATTCTCCTACCTCAGCCTCTTGAGTAGCTGGGACTACAGGCGTGCGCCATCATGCCCAGCTTATTTTTGTATTTTTAGTAGAGACGGGGTTTCACCATGTTAACCAGAATGGTCTCGATCTCTTGACCTCGTGATCCACCCACCTCGGCCTCCCAAAGTGCTGGGATTATAGGCGTGAGCCACTGCGCCCGGCCGCACATTATTTTTAATATAGTTCGTGTTTTCAAATCTTTTCCAGGGCTCTAGGACTGGATAAGCCCAGTTTGGGGAAACCTTAGCAAATAGGAAGACAAAAAAAGTTCTGATGCTGAGTTTATAGTTGAATTATCCAGACTTTGTCTTGAATTTCTTATGCAGGCCTAAGGAGAAGAGATGTTGAGAAAGTGCAGAAAGGTTCTATACTAATAATTTCTTTAAGGTGAGCTTTTTGCCCCTCTTCAATTATTTGCAACTTGCAAGGTGTTAGACCATGGAAGATTTAACCTTGATGCTTAAGAGTTCAGGAAATCCCCTCTCTGAACTGGTTGAGAGCATCTGAAAAACGGTAATTTCTTCAAAACTACTGAGGAAAGAAGAAGCCAGGAAGAAGCAAGTGAAGCCGTAAGGAGTGAAGAGCCCTTTAATTTAGAGTTCTCACTGGGGCCTAGAGAAAATCATGAGTGAGAATGCTCCTTGAAGAGAATTCCCTATGATTGCTTAGTGCTTACAAAAGAAAGACTCAAGACTAACCATTCAGAAGTTGCTGGAATGTAATAACATTTGTTCCTGACAATTGAATTTCCTCTCCCATGGAAGTCATTGTTTTGCTCATTTAATGGAGAAAACTGAGTTTCAGTTAAAAAGGGGAAGAGTCATTACATTATTTCTAATTTTACGTATTTTGACCTGTGGATTAAAGGTCTAAATTAAGGTCACAAGGCATCTGGAGATACAGAATTTTTCCCATACTTGACCAGGTTCTGAGCACCCTGTCTCCCACTGATGTTGGCTTTACTTGCCTGAGCCCATAATAGAGGGGAATAATAATGGCTTTTCACCTGTGTAAAGTAGATGACTAGACCAAATGATTTCATATAGTTGTTTTTAGCATTCAGGTTGATTCCAAAGCAGCAAAGGAATTATGGCTTTGGTTAATTTTCCAGGGATGAATCTAGTTAGTAGCAATTTTAAAAGTATAAATAACTTTTGACTGCTACCACAATACTTAAGTATTTTTAAAATTCTCTTGTTATTGACATATAAAATGATTTTCTAAATACACACAAACACACACTATAGATATAGGTTTGTAAAATAAGAAAACAAAGGTCCAAGTACCTACAGGCCAGTGCAAAAAGTAAACAGAAAGGAAGCATCATTTGTTTCTGTTTTGGAATAAAATGTTTTCATTTGTTCAAGTCTGATTTTCTCAGATGGCTGTTTTTATTTTATTTTATTTATTTTTGAGATGGAGTTGCTCTGTCACCAAGGCTGGAGTACAATGGTGTAATCTCTGCTCACTGCAACCTCCACCTACTGGGTTCAACTGATTCTTCTGCCTCAGCCTCCTGAGTAGTTGGGATTGCAGGCACCCACCATTAATAGTATAATAATTAGGAACTAATAATTTCAAATTAGCCTGGCTAATTTTTGTAATTTTAGTAGAGACAGGGTTTTGCCATGTTGGTCAGGCTGGTCTTGAACTCCTGACTTCAGGTGATGTGCCGACCTCAGGTGATGTGCCTGCCTCAGCCTCCCAAAGTGCCGGGATTACAGGCACAAGCTACCCACGCCCAGCCTGTTTTGTTTGTTTTTTGAGATGATGAGATCTTAAAACATAAATTTACTGGCGCAGATATCATTGATAATGTTTAACTTAAAGCAATCATTGCTAATGGGAAAATGGTTAGATAAAACTAGCCATGTTCTAATCAGTGATCTTTTGAAAATGCTTATAAAAATAGGACACATGCAGATGCCTTAAATCTTTTGTGAAACAAAGAGATGTTTCAATAAATCAGGTTTGAAAGTGCTCCCATTGTTAAAAGTTTAAAAGGGAGGATATAAAGTGGCATACATGATAAAATCACAACTAATAATTGTAGTAGGAAGAATTAAACATTTGTCCATATCGTCTGGGTAATACAATCTTCTTTCCTTTTACTACCTGTCATATTGTCAAAATTTTATTCAGCATGCTATGATGAAAAAGCACTCATTTTTATAAAAAATAGAGTTTGCTGCTATTTTCATGATGTTCAAATTGCCATAGCCTTTTATTCCTGCTGCATTTCTAGTGTGCTTCTGCCACCTTGTGCTTTCTGAAATCCATTGCAGTGATTAGCAAAGAAGGAAACATACTTAACAAGGTTGTTACTTCTTTGAGAGTAAATGTTACTTCATAGTATGGAAGGAGGGGGTGAGGAATACATGAAAGATATAAAACTGTGTGTGTGTGTGTGTGTGTGTGTGTGTGTGTGTGTGTAGAGAGAGACAGAGACAGAGAGAGACAGAGAGAGGGATAAATCTCCAAAGGTCTGAGGATTGTTTACTATATCAGATCAGTTTAGGAATTTGCTTGAGCCCATAATAGAAGAGACTAATAATAGCTTTTCACCTGTCTAAAGCAAATGACTAGACCAAATGATTTTATACAGTTGTTTTTAGCATTCAGGTTGATTGCTAAAAGGTTCTATACTAATTATTTCAAATCCTGGTTAAGAAGAGTAAAGACCGGGTTTTAGTGCTGATAGTAATCAGCTCCTTAAGATAGGTTTTAAAACACATTTTGATACCTTCTATCCTTGCTTGTTTTTAAACTGTGTTTCTGTCTGTATAAAAAACTGAACAAAACACTTGTGCCTAGAAAGCTCTAGGTAGCTTTTAAAAATGTGTTTCTTTACATTAAATGGCCTGCTGTGTTAACGTGAACTCTTTCACATTATCATTCCAGACGACATTCCATTTGTTCAATGCCTCAAACTATTTATATGGTCTGCTGCCTTGCAGTTATGCTGATTCTAGAAAGGCGAGCCTTTACCTGGAACTTTGGCCTTCCTGCTTGAGCATACACAAGCCTGATTTGATGACTTGTCTGAGGTGCTCTAAGATCTTTCCTTTTAGGAGTTAATTTAAATACATTTGACTTAGTTTTTGTCATTTTTTTTTTTTTGAGACAAGAATTTCATTCTTGTTGCCCAGGCTGGAGCGCAATTGTATGATCTCATCTCACTGCAACCTCTGCCTCTGCAGGAGAATTGAGCGATTCTCCTGCCTCAGCCTCCCGAGTAGGGTTACAGGCACCCACCACCATGACGGGCTAATTTTTGTATTTTTAGTAGAGACGGGGTTTTACCATGTTGGCCAGGCCGGTCTCAAACTCCTGACCTCAGATTATCGACCCGCCTCAGCCTCCCATAGTGCTGGGATTACAGACATGAGCCACCACACCTGGCCCTAAATACATTTGACTTTGAAGTGGTATTTAAGGAACCATGGATACAAATAACTTATGTTTGTCAACTAGCAAATACCTGTTTCTAGAATGATATGGAATAGTCCTTCCTAGCTCACTAAAATTTTGACAGTAGCAGGCCTCATCCTTTGGTGTCATGCTTGCATTGAAGAATTGTGATTGTAACAATAGGATTGTGATCCAAAGGGTTTGAATGGCACAGAGACTATATTTATTGAGCATCTTCTAAATGGCAGGCCTAGTGCAAGTCTTTTTTACATCTGTAATCACATATAATCCTCAGCACAAAACTGGGCTATGTTAATAACTTCCTAATTTCACATTTGGGGAAACTGAGATCAGAGGTTAAATATATCTTACCACATAAGCTTGGACATGGCAGGGTAGGAATTT